CTGTGCTACCCTTTTCTCCCAAATTAAGCCCAACATCTTAGAAGATGTCTCTCTGTCACCCTGCCCCAAGGGTGCACTAAGAAGTTGAAGAGCTTGGAGAAATTAGGAGCTCAAACAGACACATGTAAGCACCTACTCCACAAATACCTTTGGCAAAACATGTGGGGATGAGGTTGTTTTAAAAATGCAGCACTAAAGGGTGGGGTGGAGAGCACAGAGGGAAGCTGATGTTTTAAAAAAGGCATCTTCCTGCAACTATTCGGATGGCTCAATATTACTCAGAGAAGTCTGATTCTTAGTCACAGAGGTGGATCAGATAGATACCTGAAGTTAAAGCCTAAACCCAGGCCATGGCAATTGGGCAGTCACAGATTGGAAGGGTAGGGTGCCTGGGAGTGACAAATGGCAGTACTAACCTTGTGTACCTGGAAGGGGTACTAGCGTAACGGCTAAGACAGCAGTTTGAGAATCAGAGACTATGACATTTGCTATCGGTGTGACCTCGAACAAAGTCTTTCTAACACTCAGAATCTGTTTTCTGATCTGAAAGATGGAGATAGCAGCATAATGTTGCTGAGAAGATTAAATGGGAGGGTGCATGTGAAGTATAAAGCATAGTACCTAGTGCATAGTAAGTCCTCCAAGAACACAGGCTTCCATCTGCTCAGCAAATGTTTATTGGTCACCTACGATGTCTCATTTTTACAAGTATCCTAATGCTACAACTTCACAGTTTTTCAGAAAGGCAAGTTGTTACATAGTTTATAGCAGGAGGTCCTGGCCACCGGCTGATCTTTGTTGATTTTTGCCTTTTGTTTGGAAGGATGCCTTTTGTTTGTTTTGATTGGTGAAACAACTCACTTAGAAACCTGGTATTGTCCTGCCTGTTGTCTTCATTTGTGGCGAGAGAGGGTGAGAGAAACACACACACACACTAGGTTCTTGCATCTGAGAGTGGGGCCTGAATCTCTCTACCTCAGGCACAGGAAGGTGCCGCTCCTTGCTACTTTTCTCCAGGTCTCAGGATCCAATCCCTAATATTTCCATTGTGGAATATGCTTGACACTTATTTCACATCATTTGCTCTATCTTTTCATTAACTAACGATCATATCAAAAACACTGTCTTTTGAAAAAATGTATTGCAGAGGGATTACTTGGGAAAGATGTGCTTGGTAGGGGCCACCTGTGCCCCCCTGTCCTCCATCGCTATTCAAATGATCCTCAAACCCACCCTCTGGCTCAGCTGGGAGGTCCAACATGCAGGCAGGCGCCAGGCTGCCTGGAGGCAGCCCTTCTCGTCCTCCTGTCACATAATTCAAGCCTGTCTTTCTGATGCCAGAGGAAATGCCTACAAGGCCTCAAAAAGTCTTAGAGATTTTTTAATAGGGGTTATTAGCCTCTATTCCTTTGGAACAAGAAAGGGTAGAGCTGATTTTGATCATGAAGTTTTCGATCCTCTCACTGCCCTCACACCTCTTCCAATGCCTCAGTAGGAGACACCTTCTCACCTTCCACCATCCTTGCCAACTCCTGGTACTCTCATCAGGCGATGAGAAGTGTTGCACAGGTGAGTGGAAGAAGAGACTGAACGCAGTGAGGAAACACTAGCACCTACAGGTCAGACTGAGATCAGAGGTGAACATGGCCCTTGTTCCTCCCTTCTGTCCTGAATGCTAACTGTGTTTTCCTTGACCACAATGACCCTTTGCCACTTTGGTGCCTCTACAGTGGTGTTCTCTGCTTGCAAAGCTCTTCTCAGGCTTCAGGAATTGTCTTCAATGTCATCTCCTTCTTTAGTTGACTTAAATGTTACCCCCTCAGAGAAGCCTTCTCTGACTACCGCATGTCGGTTTACTCTGCAGGACTTATCGCAGTTGATGATCATATAAGTTTATCTCTCCTGCTAACCAGTAAGCTCTGACTTTGCTTCCAGTTGCCTGCCCAGTGCTCAGCCAGGCACCAGGTGCCTAAGAAGGGCTTGGTAAAGATGTCTTGAAGGAAGGAGTGAGTGTGTAAACTGTTGCCTCAATGGCTCGGAAGTTAACATTCACCCTGGGTGAAATGGAGCTCCTTAAAAGTCAGCCCCATAGCCAGGCCCTCCAAGTCACATGGCTCAGGTTCTGACTGGACCAACCAAAGATGCACCTCTACAAGATGGCAGAGCATCTGGCACACTGGCTCCACCTACCAGCCAGGGCACTCCTGCCAAGGCCCAGAGAGCACATTGATGGGGGAGACAAAGGGGCTGGAGTGGATCTAAGGCTAAGCCTGTCTGATAAGCCTGAGGGAGTTGGGCAGGTCATAAGTGCAATGGAGAAGCCAGAAGCACTGAACTTAATGAGCCCCCACAGCTGTTTTTAATGGGGACCTGATCATTTGAGGGCAGTTGGGGGAGAGGAGGAATATGGTCTCATATGCCTAATTAAAAGTTACAAAAAAGAGAATAACACATGGCAAGAGCCTGCTGAAACCATGGAAAAGGGCCTTGGTGAGAAGGCAGGGCTAACTTTTCTATTTAAAACAGTATCAATTGGTTGCCTGGAGCCAAAATTTAACAGTCAAACAGGACAATGGATGACAGCTTCAAAGTACAAACTCAGGACATTTGAGCATCAGATCAAGTTCAGAAATCAGGGCAACTTCAAGGCTTAATTTTCAAAGCATGTGGACCTTTAAATGACATTTGAATTGGGGTTTATCCCAACAGTAGCTAAAAAGAATATCGTTAGTAGTGAGCAAGAGGTCACAGCCCGTGCTCACTATGCCCAGGGGAAATTGTCACTTGCCCAAAGTGTATACACCATTGCTGTCTGAGGTTTCAAATCCAGCAACCTGAAACCACAACATCCTGGAAGAAAACATCTTCAGAGTTTTTTTTTTTTAATTTATAACCAACATTCATTGAATGCTTATCATTTCCAGGAGCCATACCATGCATTGTTCGTATCTTATCTCTTCATTCTTCACCATTACTCTGTGAGGTGGATATTCCTATTCCCATTGTATAGTTGAGAAAACTGAGGCATGGAAAGATTTGGAAACTTGCCCAAGGTCACTTATTTTATTACTGTCAGACTCACAACTCGAAGCTAGTCAGTGTAAATAGTTTTGCCTTTAACCACCATGTTAGACCATCTGTGAAAGCAGTCAGTGAATAATGAACATACATTAGATACTTCCAACTCTAAGTGGAAATCCATTTCTACTTGTTTTTATATGAGGATGCACTGAGGCAGTGTGGGTTCTGGGAAGATTACTGTCTCCGGCTTTAGTTATAAAATTGTTTAACCAACTATCCAACTATCTATCCAATCAATCAACCAACTACCTAACCAACCAACCAATGAGCCAACCAACCATCCAAGCTACTGCCCTAGCCATCAACCACTCATCCATCCATCTGTACAATCAGCCAACTAACCAATTAACCATCCTCACTCCTCTTACTGTAAAATTGGAATTCATAATTATACCCACTGTGCAAGTGAAGAGCTTAACATAGGGCCTCAAGACACTGATCAATCACTATTACTATTGAGTTGTGTTGTTCTTGAGCTGCGCATTCCAGTAAGACAATAAATGTCTCAAAGACATGGGAGAGGCTTGAGGCCCACTTGACTATCCTACGAAAATTATCCCTGAACTTGCTGAAAAGGGTGTGGACCATACAACTTCACAGGGTGTTCTTTCCTAAGGGGAAATTAGTTTTGATCTGATGATCACAAAAACTTGGGCTTCTGCAGAAAACTTTGCTGACTGGCCTTTTTTTTTGATACTGTGACTCATACAACAATTATGATTTTCTAACCAGCAGCCAGATCTTCTGGGACCTAGCATTTTGTTTTAACTTCATCATGGACTTCCTTTTATATTTCCTTACTTGTTTTTCCTTTGTCCACTTTTTTGAAATCTACTTCCTAATCTACGTTTTCTGGGTTGAAATTGTTTGGTTAGGATTTCTTAAGTCCTCGTGATAACCAGAAGGAATATAAATATGTGACTATTTATAAGGTCTGGTTTACATATCGACTGCTGTTTCGCTGATGCAGAGAGAGAAAGGCTACCTCAGGAGAAGTGAAAGTGAAAAGGCCACCATGCTTCTGCCTGCTCCATGGGGCAGAGGGTATGGGATGGTATGGTACAAAAACACAAGGCAGATGGAAGCACTTTGGGTAGTGGCACAGTTTCTTCTTCCATTGTGCATGTGTAGGATTTAAAATCCCTCCTCCCAAAAGACAGAGAGAGAAAGAAGAGAGGAGAGAAGAGGGGAGGAGAGAAGAAGGGAGGGGAGAAGAAGGAAGGGAAGAGAAAGGGAGGGGAGAGGAGGGGAGGGGAGTGAAGGGGAGGGGAGGGGAGGGGAGGGGAGGGGAGGAGAGGAGAGGAGAGGAGAGGAGAGGAGAGGAGAAGAGGAGACAGACAGAGAGACAGAGAGGACAGGAGAGGAGAAAGAAAGAGAGAAAAGAAAAGAGGAGAAAAGAGTTGTAGGAGAGAAGCAGTATGCTACAAAGAAAAATTCTGAGTTTCAAAGTTTTTAACTCCTAGATTTTTTGTTTGCTTATTACATGAAGTTAGCTGAGTCACTTAATTTCTCTGATCCTCAGTTTTTCTTATCTGCAAGATGGGTCAACAAGTCCTACCTATTTCACGGGTTGTTACAAGGATGGAAAGAGACTAAGGCATGTAGAAAAAGGTTTGAGAATTGTAATGTGAGCTTCAAACAGTAGGAGTTTGTATTATTTCCCACAAAATGTCAAAATTCCAGTAGTGCCGTCCATGAGACATTTAAAGCACATTTCCAGCTGTCATAAACTGCTGGGAGGTGGGGAATGACAACAAAAAAGAAACAAAGCAAATAAAGCAAATGATTATTTTTTTTTAGATTGGCCCAGTGCAATGTGTCAACCTGGCCCTGTTTATAAGGGCATTCCCTCAGTCATAAAGCACCATCTGTCACCTTCTCTCCACAGGGGTAGAAACAGGACCAGGAGGCCGTCTTACCTCATCATCGCAGCTGATGGAGCATTTGCCATCCAGGGAGGCACACTGTGAAGGCAAAAAGCAGAGGGAAATGTGTTACTATGTTCCTTGGGCATCCCAGTGTCTGCTGTGGCTGCCACTGAGCTACTTAAGGACAAGCTATCCAAGTCGTGGGCTAGAATTCAAATACCCAATTTCATTGAAAAGGAATGCTCCATGATGTGTCTTGTCTACCATCTCTGGAATCAATATCAATTCCAAAGAGTAACGTAAAATAAAAGATGGATGAAACAGTTGGTGGGGGGGCAGGCACTCACACCTGTAATCCCTGCACTTTGGGAGGTTAAGGAGGGCGGATCACTTGAGGTCAGGGGTTTGAGATCAGCCTGACCAACATGGTGAAACCCCGTCTCTCCTAAAACATACAAAAACTACCCTAGTGTGGTGGCAGGCGCCTGTAATCCCAGCTATCAGGAGGCTGAGGCAGGAGAATCACTTGAACCAGGGAGGTGGAGGGTGCAGTGAGCTGAGATCGCACCAGTGCACTCCAGCCTGGGCAACAGAGCAAGACTGTCTCAAAAAAAAAAAAAAATATTGAGGGGGGAGTTGGCTCTTTTTTATCTACTTTATGTTGTCATTAAATAGTAATGACATCTTTTTAAGATCTCAAATCTTTTGGTAACTACAAATATAATTATATAATTATTTAATTTAAAATTCATTAATTCTCAATGACTTTAAAAAACCCCTGTCTGTCTGCTTAGTTTATAGTTTCCTAAAGTATTTTAATTTAAGGGATGATAAACAATTCTAACATTTATTCTTGGGCAGATGGAAGCAACTTATCAGTGGCCCTTTCTACCAAATTACAACAAATACCACCGAGATGACTTAGCACAGAGAGCACAGCAAAAAGAAAAAAATGTTCCCAGGTTCTCCAAGGTAGACCCTGTGAACAAAGAAGTCAGATATATGTTTTGGAGAAACTAGTTATGTAAAGGGTTTCACAATTTTGATAATGAGATTCACAAGTAACCAGGCATGACCATGCGATTAGGGGAAAGTCAGTATGAAAATCACACAAAAGGCCCCAATACTTAAAAGAAAAACTCCTTTGGAAGGTCACTATCTTGATCCCACAATTAAAACTGTTCCTAGGAGCAAATTCCCTGCTCTGCTCAGCATGTGGTGTCTAACATGCTGACAGCCCTTTACTTTGCAGTGAAATGAAAGGTAATCTGAGCAGCCGACAGTTCATTTTACAAACATTCATCGGAAATCTGGCACTTTTAGGCTCCAGGTACCCAAATGTGAACACCTGTATAATAACAGTGTCGCTAATGCTTCAAGATGCCGATTATAACTTACCTGTCTGCTGGCAGTCCAGAACTTCCTTTGGAAAAATTCAAGTTTCATCTGAATGCCTACAGCTGGGACAAGTTATAAATAAAACAAGGCATTAGTGATCCCTTTACACAATTATTTAAGATTATCGTTGAAAATTATCCATCATGGCAAGAAGCTGATAAAAGCATATAAAATCAAATGTACAGTGAAGCATACAACTAAAACATTTTATCTCTCAGGTAAAGAATTCTCAAGTTTACCTGCACTCATAGAACTCTCGACACAAAACAAACAGCACAGTGTAGATGGCTCTATGGAGACATGTTACTTTGGCGTTTCTAAAATTCATATACTTGCACCCCTGCCCCATCCCCACCCCAACACAAACTGAGAAGAGGAAAGAAAAAAAATTCAAAAGATCACTATTGCGTCAGTTCCTGTATCAGCTATTACTGTTTGAACTTGCATGTCTAAAATGTGTACTCTGCATGTATTTTTGAGACGTAACATTTGAAAAGCACTTGTCATGAGGCTGGTATTCAGAAGTGAGTCACTTTACTATAACGTGACTTAGTTTAACTGGCCTCCTAGAGTCCACATCTCAAGGTTCTTCTCTCCCATGGAACTCTGGTAAAATTATGTAATTTTTTTTTGTCTGTGAAAAGCTTCCTAAAGCAACCCCGAATGCTAGTTCTAGTGACAGAAACAGCCAAAAAGAGAACAGGTTAAGAATGTGACTTGGAACTTAGGGAAGTGAAGTTTAGTGGAACCTCAAAACTATAACATGAGGAAGTTCATCTTATTTTTCTTCATGAAGCCCAAACCACTTGAAAGACTTTAAACCATCTCAGGAGGTAAAATGGTAAAAGGGCAAAATGCTCCTGAGATGGTGGGAAAACTTGAGAGGCGTTCGGCAGAATGAGACTACAGGAAATACTGAATTCCCTGGAGCACGTCATTTACCCCAGCGCAGTTTTGCAAACTTTAGTCCGCTGCACACAACCCCCCAATTTTTGCCATATCTGCATACTACCAATACTCTTATCTATTCTTCCATATTTCTTCCTTTTGCTTAAAGATCTACAGTAATTCAACCTAAATAACACTGGAACACCCATCAAAAGAAATACACAATTGTAAGGAAAAAAATCACTTAAATACTCTTAAAATTTTGCGTGCCACTCTATTGGACCTCCCATTTGGGTAGTCATTGTTGTGCTGGCTTCAGGAACTTGGAGATTCATAAAGGTCTTGGGCTGTTGTTACCCTGATAACTATCAAGGGCATTTCTACTTCCTAAAGAAATTGTTGAAGCAAGCCCTGAGAGTAAAGGTTAACTGGGTGTGTACCTTGGGAAAGATTTGCCATCTGTGTTTGGACTTGGAATTTCAGACTCTAGGATAAAGACTACAGCAGTGCATGGCTGCAACGTGCAGAATGTGAAAAGCCTCTGAAATGCACCATGTCAGTGCCCCAGGATCATTCTGCTCTGCCATTAGTGTCCTTCATTCTCTGGACCACAACTTCCCCGAGAATGAGGACCTGTTCTTGCTCCCTGCTGGACCCCTGCCCCCAGCAAGATGCTGACTACACAGATGACCCATTAGTATATGCTTGCTTTTTAAAAAAACTTTCAAGTGGTATTATAGTCAGCAGTTAGAGAGAAATATAGAAGAGTAACAGCTGTGTGAATTGTTTGTTTGTTTGTTTGAGACAGAGTCTCATTCTGTTGTCCAGGCTAGAGTGCAGTGATGTGATCTCAGCTCACTGCTGAGAAAATTTTTCTCCATTTTCATGGAGAAAAATAAGATGAACCTCTGCTTCCTGGATTCAAGTGATTCTCATGACTCAGCCTCCCGAGTAGCTGGGATTACAGGTGTGCACCACCACACCTGGCTAATTTTTGTATTTTTTGTAGAGATGAAGTTTCACCATGTTGGCCAGGCTGATCTCTAACTCCTGGGCTCAAGTGACCTGCCTGCCTCAAACTCCCAAAGTGCTGGGATTACAGGTGTGAGCCATGTGGCTAGCTTGGGTACGTTTTATAAGTGTCCCAGATGATTCTCACGCACAGCCAAGGTGGAGGATGGCTTTAGTAAATCAGCTGTTGGGGATCTACTGTGATGTAGGCCGCTTGGCCAGACTACACAACACAAGCTGTTCTTCCCGGCATTGGAGGACGTTTCAGAGAATGCCTGAAGGAAGCTGATCTTCAGTCTGATGGCGGTTGACTGCATTTCAAATAAATCTCATCTTCCAAATGCCTGACAGGCCAGGGTGCAGGATGCGAAACAGGGTCCGGGCTGCATTCTGATCAGATGCACTGGCAGGCGGGGGTGAGTGCTGGGCTTGGAACAAGTATCTCCGGTTTCACCAAAAACAGGCAGGGGCTGGCTGAAAACTGACTTCAGAGGAGAGGCCTCGAAATTGTTGTGACAACCAATAACTGGTATCTAAGAGGAGGGTGGGAAATGAGTTCATGTGTCCTCCTCTGTGTGCTTCTTTACAGCTCCCCTCCCACAGTGCTCCCCGGCCAGCCCCCGCCAGGCTGTCAGGCAGACAGTAAGGCTAAGGCCACGTCTCAGAGCCAAGGGCAAGCTGCAAGGCCTTACAGGGTAGAGCATCAGGACTGCATGGAAGAGTCACTCCAGGGTAGCCTTTCCATGGTGCTTCTCCCTCCAACAGCCCAGAGCTGTCCCGGGCCCACCTGTCATCTCTTGAGCTTCCATGAGTCTCCCAATGCACTTTCGGAGACCCCCACCCCCGTTCTCTGGTTGAGCCCTCATCTTCACCTCCCTGATGAAGCCAGCTGCTCCCCTCTGGGTGTTTATCCATCTCACATACTTGCAGCCTGCTCTCATCTGCCCCTGTCGGTCCTCTACCCCAGCTCCTTGGGGCGCTTCCATCTTTCCTCATGAGTCAGTCCCTCCATCCCATTAATCATGCAGGCTGCTTCTCTCTGATCCCTCTCCAGCGGGCTGCATCCTCGTCCTGGTCCTGATGCCCTGAACTAGACACTGCTTCCCTCCCTCCTCACTCACACCCCTTCCTGTGCCATGAAGTTGTTGCCCAAGGGCTCCTGGATAGTCCCGGGTGCAACTGTTCTGCTAGTTTTGACCTAGCTGTGCTCCTGCTGGCTGACCTCATCCTCTTTCCAGTAATACTGGCCCCTGGCTTCCTGTGGCATATCTGGGGTTTGCAGTGTTTTCTTTTACCCATAAGTTAACATACTCTCCTATGATTAAGAGACTCACAATTTCATTGATGGATCAACTTCACGACCATTTGTTCAGTGGGTACTAAGCTCTACACTGGGTACTAAGCTCCCTCCACGTCCAGTTGAGGAGTAGATCCATTGTAAAAGCTACACTAGAGGCATAAAGAACTGGAGCATGCAAAGAATGGGGCTGACTTGGCCTGGGGGCACTGGTGAGAGCTTTGTGTAAGGTGAGGCATGGAGAGCCCACTCACAGAACAGTGGGAAGATGGCAATCCAAATGGAGGAAACAGGAAGGGAGGGAAAGGGAGATAACCTTTTTAAAGACCATCATTTGTTTGGAGGCTTGAGAAGAATGGGAACGGGGACCCAGTTGCTCAGGCTGAGGTCAAATGGCAAAAGGTCTTGAATGTCAGGCCAAAGCTTCAAGAGTATCTTGTAGGCCAGAGATTGGTCCAATGGGCAAATCCAGCCCCTCTTTGTAAATAAAGTTTTCTTGCAGCACAGTCACACTAATTGGTTTGCATACTGTCTATGACTCCAATGGCAGAGCTGAGTAGTTTTAACTGAGACTGCATGGCCCACAAAACCTCAGTTATTTACTATTGGTCCTTTACAGAAAAAGTATTCTGACATCTGCTGTTGGTGCCATTGAAGGTCTTTAGTATCAAAGTGGCAGGACCAGGTTTATATTTTTAGAAAGTCCACTCTGAAAGCTTGCAGAGGAAGTGCTAGGGAAAGGGTCTGTAAAATGGGAAACAGGAGAATGAGTGTAAGGGATCGAGAGTAATGGGATTGAGCTAATTATTTCTTAAGTGTGAAAATGATTTAAAGTGCAAAAAACAAGGCAACAAAAAAATAAGAATACCCCTCTCCCCCAACAAACAAGCAAATCAACAAAAATACTTAAGGGAATCCTATGGCCAGCTGTATTTAGAAAAACAAGTATCACCTGCCACAAACAGAAGTGTAGCTTTCTTTCACTATTTTCCTTTGTTTTGGTCCACATTTTTCTTTTTTGACCTTTATCAGAGAAAACACGACTACTTCAGTGAATCCCACTCTCTGCCTTCAGCTCCCACATAACCTAAATGGAACCTGAGACATTTGTCAAGCCCATCTATTTTGTTCTTTCAGCAACATTTCAAGCCGTAACAGTATATTGATTTAAGTCATCCTTGCTAATTTAATAAGGAAAACAAAGACAGCAAATGCTTTTGTGAAACTCAAGTCCCAAGGAGAGTTACAGAAAATAAAATCACCATTCCCGGGGTTTGTAATGTTTTAGACAGTCCAGAAAATCATCAACATATTTCCCTGGAGGTCACAGTGCTCCTTCAATTTGATTACAGATGCCCCAGGGCTCCCTCCCTGCTGGGAATCTTCATCACATAGATAGAGACAAAGTCCCTTTACACAACTGCATCTGTTGATATCTTACGCACCACCCAGGAACACAACCAATCCAGAAAATATTATCCCATAGGATCCTTCCCAGTGTGCCAGTATGGGGTAAGCCTCCTAGGACAGTGACCCCAAGATGCTGGGAAGGTCTTTGGAAATCAACAAAACAGCAAAATTATTGTTATAAGAATTGTCATCTCCAAGAGCCCAGAATCTTTTCATATGAAATATTCAGGCATCTGAAGCACTGACGTCTCTTTTGAACTATCCATGTGACTGTTCTCATAACTCCTCTCAATACTCTAAGAAGGCTTGACCACAGATATCGAAACTTCAATAAAGTATCTTCCTTTCAGACTTCCTCTTTTCCCAACTGTTTAACTTCCTTCCTATCTACTTTTACCCTCCGTTCTTCCAGTCCTTTCTCCCATGTTTATCAGAAACCCAGTATATGCTGGGTGA